TAAACATAACGTTACAGTGTTTTATTTATTGTTATAGCATCGATGACACGACAGACGCAACCACTCGTTTAAATTCGTATCGTGTAAAATCATGTATTATATGTAGAGGAGAATTATTTCGTTCGGGGTCGCCGGTTTTCTCACCTCGGCTCGTAAATGCGCGGGCGAGAACGAAAGATAAAACCAGAAGAAAGCAAGGCACAGCAAGAATTCATTCACAAGTACTACATCTTTACGAAAACATCAAATCTCATCGTCCCTCTTCTCTTCCCGCTAATTCACACTTCGCACATTCATAAAACGAATTGCGCAAGAAAATCCATTCTAAACGCACATATATATAACGCGTACGCATATGCCCGTGAGTGTATCGAAGGGATATCGCGAGCACCGGCTAGGCTAGAGCCGGATTATTATACGTATGATGTATCGGTATGCCTCGAAACCTGCAAGACAATTCAAGCCAGTCGAACCAGTTAAGCATGCTCGTTGTATCGGACACCCACGTAAATGCATAATCGCCTACGAGCGAAGGTACATTGTTTCCTCTCTTCGAAAATAGAAGCTGGCTATTATACGCATCCCCGCGACTCTTTGCGTCTTCTCGTCATCAATGCGTCGCGTTGAAGTTTGCCTCGCTCGGGCTTAAAATAAGAACGGGCACATTCGTGCAGGTGCAACGCGACAATGCACAACAAACTGCAGGTATACGACCGTTCTCATGCACGGATGTGCACACAGACGTGAGGCACAGATGCATCCCACACGCCGCTGTGTTTGAACTTTCTCGTTTACGGACAAGTACGTATTAGGTAATATTGTAATTTTAATTCAAATCTCACGTAGCCTCTTATTACTTTACGTTGTTCCGTCCAAGAGATCGAGATATAAATAAATTGCTAAAGAAGCTTCGCAGTTAGATCACATTTCTTAACGTTTTCTTAACATCTTTGAACGTGTTGCGAATTTAATTCGCATAGAGGACGATCTTGCGGATCGATTCGATATCTTTATATAATTATTTGACATCTCCTTGTATAATTTGAACGTCTCGTATTAAATTTTGAAGATCGTCCTAACAACTCGTGCGTTATTGCTCAATCTCTTGGAATGACGTGCCACGAGCACGTCGAGAACTTTTCGTCCCGAATTGCGACATTTTCTCAGTTTTAAGTATATTTAAATGTAATCCGGGCAAAAAACAAATGATAAGTTCGTTACCTCTCAATCATTTCTATCCAGTGAGTATCACATACCGGCGAGTTCAAAGGAAGAAGAAAGCGACGAGTTATTGCATACGGAGTCCGGTCGCTCGTTATGGTCCGCGAACCAGTTGCCAGTGCAACTTTGGTTGCATTTGAGTAATATTGCAGGTTTAATCGATATATCTTGTCAATGATCTCGCATCGATCGTACTTCTCGAAGACACGAAGATTGAAAGGTTATAGTTAATTGTTCGTTGCTATTAGCTGTTCCCAACGAGTTTATTTTTCAAGTCGATAAATTATTGAACAACTCGCGACAAAAGACGCACGACAATTCGCGAGGGCAATTCAATTATATCCAGGATATACGTGCAATATAACGTCCTTGTTTTCCGGAAGAGACTTATAAAATCTATTGCGTCACAGATCTGAACACAAACTATGTTGTACGACCGATTAACTACCACGCGTCTCGTTTATCTCTGTTTCCTAACATGCCGATTAACTGTTCCATATTTCCGTTGCGAAATGTTTGCCTACCAGGCAACCTAAATTGTAATCCCCAACTTGTTTCCAGGCGAGGATCCATTAATTTAAAAGAAAAAGAAGGAGATGCTAACGATAAACTAAAATTCGAAAAATTATCTCGTTATTAGAAACGTCGTTTAGTTCAACTATATTTGAAACCTCGTTTCAAATATACTTGATATATTTTTCGCTGTGGAACCATCTTACCTAACTCGCATCCCTTACAACACTGACAATCAATTAATTCACGTGTTCCGTAAATTGCTAAATTGTCAGGGGCAATTATTACCGAAAACAAATCCAAATATATACCACTTGACACGCGGTAGATAAGCAACAACAAAAAAAAAAAAAAAAAAAAAAAAAAGAGGTGGCATTTGGCGTTTTACAGTGCGCGGCCATTAATTTTAGGACGCGTCAATTAGTTAGAAGCAACTAGTGGAGCGTGAGCCTATATAAGTCTGGCAACAGCGCGCCACTTGAATGTTCATTGTAAGCACGTAGCTCGTATGTGCCCCCGAGTGTCGTGTGAGCTGCTCATGGAGAGGCCAGCTTTTTACAGTGACACACGTGCTCCCCACTAACTTTATTTCTGACGACAGAGTCCGCGATTCGAGGAGTCATCGGCACGGGAATACTTCCTTTTTCGCTAGCGGGGAGCCGAATTTACTGCAACTACGCACCCGGTTATCCCTGGCCCCTTACCCGGTTCGCATTTAAACGCGCATAACTGAGATTAGGCGGCAACTGTTTCTCCCCGGCGGCGCAACCGAGCCAGTTCATTATGCAGCAGCTACACTACTAGCCCATGATTTTGCAACGGGACGCAAAAGTATTCGCGCGTATTCTTCCACAGGATGTTATATAATGGCACAACGGCCTCGACCGTTATAAACAATCATTCGGAAAGCGATCGACGAGCTCTTTCTTTTTTTTCTTTTTTCTTCTTCACCTGTTGGGAGCGGTTAACCTTGAATTTTAATTTTACTCGAGAAAGATAAGAGAAAGTTAAAAGATGCATTTCCATTTATTTCTTATTCTTACAGCGACTTCGTGATGATGACAAGACGAGAGATGCGAGAAGAGTGTTCCCTAACTCTAAATCGTTAAAATCGTTATTTAGGAAGACTGAAGAATTTGAAGATTAGAATCGTAGACATCCAAGACACACCAGCCATCAGTAGGATATCTATCACCAAAACCAGAGATATTTACATAATAGTCGCGTTGTATAACTTCCATAATTAATCGTATTTGTTCATCTAACGAACGAAGTTAAATAATATTGCAAAAAGATTTGCATTGGTTGAAGGTTAACGGAGATAAAACGTTATGTATTGAAGGCTATTGAACGCCACGTTAACTTACATACGTATGTGTATGCATATCTACGATAGAGAGGAAAAGTAAAGTGAAACAGGTTTTTAGGAAAAGCGAAATGACGTCCAGGGAATAATAGGTTATATCGAATTACGTATATTGTCATTATCAACTACTAATTGCCATTTGCGGTTGGACACGCGTGATATGCTTGCTGATGGTCAGTATCCCATCTTTTTTTTTTTTTTTTTTTTAAGTTCTTTGGGATAGCAACTAGTAGCTCCATATAGTATTTTCAATTATCTGAAAACTGATTGTTATTTATCTAAACAGGCAGGAAGCAAAGCTCCGCTTGCTAATAAGTCTCGCATCGGGCCGGGAGAGATTTTAGATTGCCCGGGCCAGGCAATTTTAACGTCCACCGGGACTGAGAGCAATAAACAGAAGAGAGACGCGCGAAGAAAACCACGTGGCCGCGTAGAGAAACTATGAAAAATATTATGATGAAGCGCACGCATCGCGCGAACGAAAACAAGGTATTTTTTGTGTATTTTTTTCGCTCGCCCATCTATGAATATTCAATCGTAGGCAATCGTTTGATGTACATCGGTGTTGGTTTCGAAAGGTACAAATTAGTACCTATTTGTTCCCTTTCACTGTCTCAACCGGTTCATCTACGTGTGGAATAATAAGAGCGAGCGGCAGCATTTTTAATAAACCAGCGAAATACCGCCCGGCCAGTGTGACATTTCAATCCGCACTTTTACAAGAGAAAGCACGCCCACGCGCGAATAACAGGTCCTGTACACAATCTAGTAGACACTCGATATCAACTCGGCCGCCGGTTTATAAAGCCATGCATCACTGGGGGGGGGGGGGGGGCATAAATTACCATATTAACTAACCGCGTGGAGGTGTCCCAAAATCTCGAGTCGAGACGAGAATTAGAATTTTATTAAATCGATATCTCACAGGTGTCGCGCGTGCACCAACGCGGGAGCTACCGGATCGAACATGATACAAGGCGTGCCGATTACGACAAATGCGCCTCAATCCTGTGGCAAAAACATACGGTTTACTTTTTTGGTACAGTATTCATGAACACATGCAGCCGCGTTACATACGTCTCTCGGGCCTTCATACTGTCGTTTTACGACTTAATGCTTCGCATGCGACCGGGCATTTATAACCTAAATGGAGTCGAATTATTCTTTCGTCGAGAGTTCGTATGGATTTCGTACAGTTATTGAAAATTCATATAGTACGTGTAACACACGAATATAGTGTAGTGAATATTATATATAAATAGAAGAGAATATATTGTAAATAAATTATTAATCTCACGGTAAGTTTTACCGGCATGTTACGACGAACTGAGAATCCCCCCCAGCATGATTCACGAACGAACTCGCGTTGCTTACAAATTTTTTGTTGAACGAAGACTACACAGGCGTCGCGAAACGATACTCGGGTGAATCGAACGAAAGAAGAAAGGAGAAGGACATATAGACGATGCACCAAGAACGCGGAACGAGCACTGTTCTGATGCTGACGCTGCACGACACGGGGCGTTTCGTCGTTTCGCACGCAACTGTGCCGATGCCAATTACCGGGAACAATGATCGACTGTGTCGCAACGGAACCAGTCGCACAGAGTCAATTCCGTATTTTGAGCAACGTTTCCACTGAGGCGAGCACAAATATTTTTTTACAAATAATCTCGTCTATACTGCTCTATGCTAAAACCATCATCGATTTAAATGGAAAGAAATCATTCTATCCTACACCAACGACAGATATTTTGCGTTTTAGGTTTTGGACACAACCTCGTTATCGAAGGGGTGAAACCGCTTCCGTTTTCTGATTGAACGCTGCCACCACGGTTTCAAGCCGCGCCGCACGGATCAAATATAGAGGAACATCTGACAAGCACTCACGAAAACTTACACTTAATCAGGATGACACCGTTATGCAGTTCCTCCATCTCGCGGAGGCGAGCGATCCACGTCGCGTTTCGTCCTCCAGGTTAAAAAAGCCACTGTCCAAGCCGAGTGTATGGTTGGCCGTACGTTTCGGTTTCGGGCAACGTGTTCACCGATCGGAGCCGAAGAGGCCAACATACGCGTCGGCGCACGCTCTCGGCGTTCCAGTCGGGAGAGTTGAGGAACGACACTTCCCGACCCGCCAGTGGAACACAACCACGGCTGGGGTAAAAATTACGGAGCGCACGTGGTCCGTGCGACCGGTCGCGGGCGTAATTAATATTGCAGCGTGCACCGATAAGAACGCGTCGTACGCGACAAAGAAACGCCACTAAAATCAAGTATAAACATGGCCGTGCGCGCGCGTCTCTCTGGCTCTCCGTGGCCCGCGGACCCGTCGTCACGCACTGAGGGAGGTTGCATGGAAACGAAGGGCACGGAGGAATGATAGAGAGCCCCAGCAAGAAGGAGAGAGACAAACGGAGAGCGAGAGAGAACGATCAAGGCTACGGCCGACCGAGTGAAAGAGAAAAACCCGTCGAGAAAGAGAGAATGCAACGGAGGGTGCTGTAACTTATGAACGAGAGAGAAAGTTAGAGAGAGAGAGAGAGCAAAGGAGTGGACAGGCCGTGTGTGGAAATGAACTGGCAGAAAAAGAGGCCAGTATGCAGCTTGCAGGCAAACAAGGATAAAAAAAGAAACAAAAGAAGAAAATCGGACAGAGAGGTAGAATGAAAGAGTGGGCCATTCTGTGTTGTATGTTCTGAAACGGACGGAGGGAGAGAGAAAAGGAAGGAGCAGATAAACGGAGGCACAATCGACATAGAGTAGGAGGAACAGAGATGGACGCAGAGTTTGTTCGGAAGTTTGTTCAAACGGCCGGCACGCGGCGCCACTTTCAACGTTTCAACTCTCCATCACAGCTTGTGCCTTTGAACCAATTCTAAGTAAAAATGCGATTTTTCTGACCTGGACTGTTGTTAAGCATGGAAAACGAGTAGGTAGCTGGACCCTAAGGGTCCTTGCGAGCTGGAAAGCTGCGGGTCAAAAAAGACATTTCGGTGAGTTCTTGGAAAAATTTTGCAGCGTTAACACGGAAAGAAGGGGAGAGTGGGACGAGTCACATTTTAAGAGAGAAAAAATTTGTACTTGCATCTGAAAGTATGTGAAATATGTCATTATTTAAAACGTCAAACTCCCAATGCGATTATGTATCAGTGTATTTTCAACTATATTTATGCATACTGACATTACCGGATTTGTCGGTTTCGGTTCTAGATATTTTCACAGACTAGCGGTCACCAGATCAATCTCGCGTTAAAAAGTGCTCGTTCAATTTGTGCACGCCGCTAGAAATCTTAATACAATTACATAAGAAGTGCTATACCATATTATTGAGATAATATATATAATTTATAAATATAATAGAAATTAGCTTGCAAATAAAAATATTTACTAATAAAGAAACAAATGAAACAACAAGACAAATAGAACGATGATATAAATTATCTGCAATTCAAAAATCAGCGTAAAGATATTGATACACAAGTGATTCTTATGTAAGTGAAATACGATGCATTTCGGAAGTCGAAAAACATTTTTTTTTTTTTTTTTTTTTGGAAGAAAAAACACATATTACCAAAGAAAGTACATTTAATGAGAAAATTTAATTACGTCCCTGAGAATTTCCTTCAACTTAGATTTTAACAACGTTACGTCCGATAACTCGTGTCAAGTTAAATATAAGTTGTTTTCATTTCCAATTGAAATAAATTCCCCTCTCGCAAAAATAAATGAAGGCTTCCTGTTCTACAAAATTCGAACGCCCGAGAAAATTCTCTATAATTTACAACGAAAGCACGTGCTTTTGTCCTGCGTCGACAATGGTTGACGACATTTTCATCGAGATCTCGAAAGAGAATCGACGTCGTATGTAGGCTCGTCGTCGATAGCACAGTGAATCGGGAGAGCGAGGCCGAGCTAGTTGGCCGAGCAAAAGGGAAAACACTGCCGTGTTGTGCAGCTCTAATGAGAGATGGCGACGCGGTTTGTTTTCCTTTCTTGGTTGGCACGTATTCAAAGAGCAGCCGGTTATATATGCTCTCTCTGTCTACATACGCGCGTATTACCGTTTCAGAATCATGCGTCCTCCGTTAAATCTATGTTTGTAGCTTCTACCACAGCGGTGATGGCATGTGCTCGACGTACACTCTTCCCCCTCCCCTTTGCTCGCTGGTCAAGACTGAAACCAGGACTAGATCTTACAATTAGTACGCATCAGAATCCCCCGACTACGAGAAGTTTTCACGTCGGATCGTATATCCTTTCGTAAGTTCCGCGTTCAGGACGGCTTCTTCATCATGACGCAGATCTCTCAGCACGCGAAATTTCGATGTGAGTTCTGACAAACACCGTCTGTCATTCAATAAAAAACCACGTGTACACTCTTGATTCTTTCTCTTGTATATCTGGCTATGACGTTGTTTATCAATGACGATGCCGATTGTGCCTTGAACGCGAAAGGAAACGAACGACCGCTTTATTATCGAGGCGCGTTCTTTCTCTTCTGTTTTTACTCGTCCCGAGCGTACGTCGTCGGCCATCGTGGTCCCCATTTTGCTACGCGAGTGTATTGTGATACGCAAGAATTTCCTTTGTGTGTCGTCATCACTATGACCACTAAAACTACGTTGTTACTTTTCTATTTCTTTCATAACGTGTTTAGTTTACGTATTGCAATAATTACTGCTGCTCAGTTATCAACTTATTGCGATTCTCGTTGTTACTTATCGTTCTCTATTAGTGGCAGTATAATTCACAATACGTATTCGAGTATCGTGGCAAGAATTGACTGCGTCCGTCAAGGATTTACGCGCGATCGCGCGTTGCGCGCGCAACCGATTTTCGCATTCGTCCGTTGCCGTTCTTTCTCATCTATATTTTACATCTGTATAAATTAACTAACACGGCGAACGTGATGCGATTTCATTTAGCCGTATCGAATAAATAAATTTTTCGTCTCGTTTAAAACAAAAAAAAAAGAGAGAAAAAAACGTTCGTCAGACTTACACCTCGATGCACACGAGCGATTCAGAAAAATGCGCAATGGAATATGCATATTAGCGCGCTCCTATTCGTATGCTCCCGCACTATTAAAAATCAAGCGCGGATTGTTACTTCTTCCCTTATATTTTGTTCTTCTACCGTTCTTTTTCTCATTGTTCCCTCAACGCGTGGTGGCAATCGGTCTACGTCTAACCCATAACTCTGAGACACGACATTCCCTCCCCCTGAGACCGACGTAATAAGCGTTTAATAGGAATCATTACCACGACCACGGCGATAATAATCGCGAGTCATGCAGGTAGTCACGAGGATTTTTCCCTTCCATTTTGTGGATGCCTACAGGGACCGAGAATCTCACTTGCCGGTTCATTCAGCTACGAAAGGAAAATGGGAAACTCTTTACCGGTCGCAAATATTCAGCCCAAGCTGGATGGCAGTAAGTATAACACGAATCACCGAAACCTAAGCCTGTTTTTCTCATGTACGGAGGATTTTGAAATTGCCCCGCGACGAGAATTCAAAGTATTTTCAACTCGAACTTCTCGACAGAAATAAAAAAAAAACGAAGCTCTAGTTGTTAAAGCTGATATTTGGCAAAATGATATGATTATATATTTCGTACTAATATAAATATAAAATCATACTTGCTCGGGAGAAGCGGAAACTTGCATTCGGATCACGATGCAACGAATGTATTCACCGGTGACTGTCACTTTTTCTTAATTAAACGTTGATGATTTCATTATGAAACGTGTTTTATCGAGAACGTAAATGTACTAAAAATGTATGCATGAGGCTCGCCGAGAGAACACTGGGAACGTGTTGTTCTCTGCGCACATGTATAAAAATACCGACAAAAAAAGAGTCTCGTTTGTATCATTTATCAATTGCGACATTGCCGCGCCAGTCGACCTCGAGTGTAAAGAGATATGGGACAAATAATTTTTCATACGTCGAAACGAAATCACAATCGTCATGTTTTTATTATCGAGAAAGAGAGAGAGAGAAAGATAATTACATGTTTATTTATTTTTGTAAATATCTTCGATGGAAAACGATCGAGATAACTTGTACCTTGAGAAAAGTGGTTGCAGCTGGTGAAATCGGAAAAGGGAGACTATGCCAGAAACGAATTGTACATACTGAAATAGCACACAGAATGCAGAAATAGCGTATCACTATTATTAACGACTGTGACGAAAATTGGAAGAAAAATGAGACACGCCTATTGTCGACCGAGCTTATTAATCGATGTATTATAAATTGCGTCTCGTTTGAAATGTAGCTTGCGCACGTAACAAAATTAAATTTAACTCGAGGAGGAATTCGAATTTTGCATAATACGGTCATATTCTTTAAACTGAAACTCGCTGACTGTCACTTTTGATAATAAGAGTGACTTGTTTCGTACAACTATCTATTTAGGCTATCAAAATATATTAGACGTATCGCTTTATAATGAGCGGGAGCATTACACTGACACCCTAAACGCAACGTGTGACAAGAGCGGAAACGGAAATGAACGGCAGCAGTACTGCACTTCGTCCAACGTACGCCATCATCTTTGCCGGAATATTTATCGTACGTTCTTCTCGAACCGTTTCGTTATCAGCGAAAATGCATACGCCTCCCGATAAGAACAAAAACAATAGGCCGATTTTATTCCGTATCGCGAACGTATTACAGCGTTCTCGCTGTTCCGTTTCTTGGAACGTAAATCGTGAAAATACGCGATACTACAAAGCTGGGGGCTGAACACGCGTTTCATTGTCGTCCATTGTCTGAAATCATTTCTCGCTAACTGCTCGAAATCGCTCTCTTCGTTTTTCGTTAATTTCTTTTTTCCAGGTATATTCTGCAACAGATGCGAGATGAATTCCCTACCATAATGGCCAACGTGCATTACAAAGTACTGAAAAAGAAATGGTCGAACCTGTTGCAGCAGTACAAAGTGAGACAAGACAGACACGCCTTTTATTGCCCTAACCATTAACCACTATTGCTCGCGTTGATCCCGTGCATGAGTTATACATCGCTTCACCCTCGTTTGTGTTCATTTCAGCGTGAAGCATAATAAACTCGTTTCCCTTACTGCCTAAGATAACCGCGTGGGACCGGCGGCCAATCACGATGACACTCTGCGCGTTAAATCGCCGAGAATTCACATAAATCCGACACGATGCTTCCACGCTTCGATTTCGTTCGACATCACCTGCAATTCTTCCTTTCGACAAGACGCAATGATTGTAATATTATAAAACAGGAAAACGAGAAGGGCATCGCAATATGAAACGAATTGTGAAATTAATCGTATAAACGTCTGAATGATTAGAATTTGTACAAAAAAAGTTGTCGAAGTCTCTTCCAGAATGATATTTCTACAACCAAACATAGATATCATTACTGCATTGTATTTCATACATCATAACCACTGAATCATAGTCTAACGCGTTCTACGAAATTTATTTTGGATCTAAGCTGAAGAAATCAACTCCAAAGAGCCTAACTCTAAGAAATATCAATGCTTTGCATGCCTTCAGACTAAAAGGAAAGGCCTGAAAGCGAAAATTTAATAACTCTCTCTTTATCATAATTTAACGAAAGATTTGAACTCGAATGATCGTGAAAGTTCTCGAAGTCTCTTCCAGAATGATATTTCTACAACCAAACATAGATATCATTATATTTCATACATCATACATCACCACTGAATCATAGTCTAACGGATTCTACGAAATTTATTTTAGTTCTATGCAACTCCGGAGAGCCGTTAGAACAACTCTAAGAAATATCGATGCTTTGCATGCCTTCAGACTAAAAGTGAAGGCCTGAGAGCGAAATTTAATAACTCTCCCTTTGCATAATTTAAAGAATGATCAAAGAGACGGTGATTGCGAAACGTAACACGACTCGTTGTTATAGACCAGCGATTTGTTAAAGGAGCTGAAGAATCCGGTACACGGGGACAGAAATAAGGCAGACGACGTGTCGTGGCCGTTTTACAACGCGATCGACGAGATTCTTGGATACGATCAGGGATCTACGCTGACCAACGACGTGTACATCGATCCCCACGAGTTCCTCTGCGTCTCAGTGACACCGGAGGAGATCACCTCGTCCGTGGACGCGCTTCCTGCGCCGTCTGCCCCGGAAATCGAGCGTCGAACCAACGATTCACTTCCGGAACAGCGGTTAAGCACACTCGGCGCTAATTGCTCGATTGAGATCCAGAAAGTACGACCTAATGCCAGCAGACGTGGCGGTCACTGCGAAAAGTAAGTTCTTGTTTATATGCGAGTTTTTAAAGTAGCTAGTTGCAAGTACCAACGTTGCGAGTGATGTTCAACCATAATCAGATAGTTTTGTCACGGGGCACGTTAACCAAGATAATTATTAAAATATATAAAGTACGTTTAACCGAGCCGAACGAGAATTTTGTTCTGTGAACATCCGTAGAATTATCACCGACAAGCGTAAAGAGCAGACATTCGAATTTACATCAGTTCGATGTCTGATGATACAATGGATGATATCGTCAATGGCTGGTTTACCTCGAACTGTCGAAAGTTGTAAATTTAAAAAAAAAAAAGAGAAAACGTCGTGCGATTTATTATAGAACGAATAAAAGTGGTTCAAATTAATGAATTTTTGAATCGCATACGTAAGGGACACTGCAACATCGTTACTTTCAATTTATTCTCGTTTTTCAGGCAGACGAGCAAAAACTCGGCGAGGAAGAAACGAGTTACGCGGAACGTCGCGATGCCCCGGCCACCACGTGCCACGGAGCTAACAATCGAGAAAGTAACGTCGGAGGCGGATTGTTCCAAAGATTTATTCAGATTACGTGGAAGGAACGTCTCGTTCGATCGAGAAGACAAAGAGAGATCGCAGCGTGACGAGATTCGGCCGAGAAAGTCGCGGAAAAGCCGTGCGGCAGCATTGTTGTACTCGGACGAGTCACGAGCCGATCGTCGCATCGAGCAGATTTTTGAATACATCAAAAAACGAGACGAAGAGAACAGGTCCATCATGGTGCGAGTGATGCACGCCGTGGAGAACATCGCCAATAAGTTGTGACCATTGTTGTGGATATAAAAAAAAAAAGGAGGATGAAATTGTATCCGATCACATTCTTTAAAGATTCACAATATTCGCGGTAAGATATATATACCACTTTTATTTATATTTTTCGTTAAAAGTTGGAACGTGGAGAACGTGCTGAAGATGTGTTCGAGATGAATGGGGATTTCTTGAGAGCAAATATCTTTGGAGAAATTTAAAATGAGAAACGTAAAATTATCAGCGAGCGTAAAGTTTTGTATTGTAGATTAAACATTGAACAGAAACTTGAATTTTATACCGATCATAAAACGAAGATCGAGTTTAATATATACGAAGGACGTTTTCTGAGATGATTTATCATTGAATTGAAAATTGGAAATTTAAAGAGAGTTGTACAACCTTATAAAACAAATCCGATAGAAATAAAAGGATTTCGAATTAATGAATAAAATTACTTAATCATACATGTAAAAAGTACTGCAATCGTAACGATAATTTAACTCATTCAAGCTAAAGTTAATTTACATTAAAGCAGAAGAGAAATCATCAATTGATCGTAGAGTGAATTCGAAGGAAGCATGGGTCAGAGATCGATTACGATACGAATTATTAGACGTTGTCGAAACGAATACCTATTATAAACTATAAAGTTTGTATCGGCGATAACAACAGCGGCGAGTCTCGTCTGATAGTTCGACGCCTTTCTCTTCGTTCTTAACGCGTTTCGATGACTTTTCGCAAGCCTTCCTTCCCGCCAAAAGGTTTCGTATCGCTTTCAGTAACAGAACTGCCATTACTATTGCGGAACGAATAGATTGTTGCACTTAAGGAAGCTTGTTTCTTTCGCCAGTTAGTCCAACGTGTTTTGCCGCCAGAGTATCCGAGCACAACCAAAGTAAAATGCCTTCGATCTACAATGGAGCCTCGAGTCTACTGTTTCAGCTCCTTTCAATTCCATTTGATTCTTTTTACAGATTCCTCCTTCGCATTTCTCGTCTTCATTGTTATTTTCTTCTATTATTTTATCGATTTTTTATATTTCTTAAAGTCTGAAGAATGCTTTCTGATTTTTTTTTTTTTTATTAGAAGAGTTATTTTTGTTTAATTCTACATTTATCGTAATCTCCTGTCTAAAAAAATTATATTCTTACTTTCAATTTACATTTCCAATTGTGTGCTTTCCGAAACAACAATGTATAACAGGAGTGAATCGATAATCGATCGCTCGAGAAAAGATTTCTTTTATTGTCTCCATTATTCTGGGATTTGTTAACTTCAGCTTGAAATTTCGAAAAAAAAGACTCGTACCACTCGGTGGTCACCACAAAGCTGGTATTGTTTCAATCGGGAGGGGTGTCCTCGAGATTAGAGTGGGACCATTTGAGAATCACCATGAGATCCCGGAAACCATATGGTCGAGTGCCTTGAGAGACTGCTCTTTTCTGAACATCTGCCCTATCCACACGATTCTTTGTTTACAATCTTTTGGCGGCTATCGACAGAACCTTCTGTCGTGTGATATATAATATAGCTTGTCGAACACATATAACTACGTACAGACAGTGTGACGAGCCAAAGATCGTTGGTTTTTTTTTTTTTTTTTAATCGAAGAGATGCTTCGAGTAAAATGCTACAGCAACAGTAAGCACATACTATGCATCTGTACAAAATACTTATAGTTTGAGAGTTTTATTCGTGTACATCACACGATATTATCTAATTGAAAAAAAATTTTTCGACTTTGAATTTTAAGACTGATCTTGTGACACATTTTTAAAAAAAATTTTTTTGGAGTAAATGAAGAAAAAAACACAGAATATTCAGCAGTTGGTTCCGTTGAATTCAACTTGAATGAAATGAATTCCTACTACTGTAATTAATACGTCGTATCCCATTGTCAACAATGCCTCTATCTAGATCTGCATTTTCACGAAAAATGAGAAAAATTAAATTGTTTTTACAATCTATATAAAATACAAAATACAGTACGTCTTAACTAGTCAACACTTGGCTTGTTCGAATAAATTAATACCGCAAGCAATATAGATGATACGTGTTTCTCCATTTTCGTGTTCTTCCAATGCATCGCACTGAGGATGCCACCATATTGAGAAATCTGAGCGCAATGTCCAGGCGAAAGCCACGATCAAACGTACGTTCATAACGAGGGAGAAGGAGATGGAAACGGAGGCGGAGATGATGGCAAAGCAGAGAAGGAAGATCGCAGCGGGATGGTGCATGGGAGAAAGAAAGGGAAACAGAAAGAATGAGCTGGGCGGTGCACGTGGTCTTGCATCTGCTTCTCCACCGAGTGACCCCGCGGCTGACCCGTTCCAAGTACCAATAATTAACTCGGTTCGTGCGCCAAATGCACACGAGCGCGCACGGGGCCCAAACGCTTGCGTCATAGCCCGGGAGAGGGCAGCGTTCCCATGAAAGAAAGGCCTGCGCATACTTGTGCAGTTATGCGCGACAAAGGGCCGTGAAACGAATGCACAAAAGGTGCTCGATGGGCCTCCGAATACGGCCCAGCCGAGGGGATTGATCAAGATCGCGGATTGCAGATTGTGTCTTGCGAATATGTCCCATCCGATGGCGCTCGAAAAATAACTAACTCTACTCGCCTCTCGAGAAAAAAATTTCTTCGTCGATTTTCTTCCGAAAATTCTAATGTACCGGTTGCAACATGGATATATTTTTGCCAATCGTTTTGGCAAGTTGGCGACGTGTACTGCAGAGTAACAATGAGCTTTCTTAAATTGTAATAATTCTTAAATGTAATGAAGCTGTGTAGCTTCGAAGTTATGTTCAACAGAATTTATTGGTTGTAATAATTCCAAATATTTCGCCAAGGTGGAATAATATAATAATATAACAAAAGTATATATAGTACTATCCTTTGAAGTTATGTTCAACAGAATTTATTGGTTGTAGAATAATTCTAAATATTTCACCTTGGTCGTACAGAAACGAAAGTGCTAAAGCCCTCGCATACTTTTCGAAACACCTGTATGGAAGGAGCGGTACTTCTGGACATATTTCTCTCTCTCTCTCTCTCTCTCTCTCTCTCTCTCTCTCTCTCTCTTTCTCTCTTCACTTTTATTTCTTGCTCTCACCGACTTCGTATTCGCAGCACGATAGTCGAGGATCGCGCAATGAGAATTTTTAACACAGCCACAGCCGCCGAGTATAATTAATTCTCGACCATGAGCTGTTCGTGACCGAAGCTTGACCGCAGCTTACACTTTTGTTGCAGTAGGGATTTATTATAACCAAGATAACCGATAGGGAAAAATGTTAAATCGAACGGGCTTTAAATTAATTTCGATTTATTATTATTATCTTTCCGAGTATTTTTGTTTAATATATATTATTTAATTCAAACTCAATTCTTTTTTTCAGAAGTTTTTCTGCTATTGATTTTAGATTATTTTATCTATCCCATAATATCAAACTTTGCGAGATACTTTGCACTTTCTGGGAATAATAGACACTTTTATACTTATTGTTAGTCAGTACTCTACTAGTCATTTTACATTCCCTAAATTTTATACTTTTACTATGCTTTCGACATATATATATTTATACATGTTCGATATATATATTTTTATACTTATGTTCTACTTCATAAATATATATATATATATATATATATTTATTTATTTATTTATGAAGTAGAACATGTATAAAAATTCGCGAATCTTCAATCTTCAAAATATTTTTACGATTAAAAAAGCATGCTGAATAATAATCTGAATTGCGTGGTATAAAATAGAGGTAACAAATGGTACGAATGACTCACCAGTCTTGTTGCTATTGTTCCCGAAAGAATGAAATTTCTTCCAGCCTTTCCAACCCTTTTTCCAGATCATAGCCGCTTTCGTTTTACGCTGACCACCCGCCAATTCTGGAGTGCTAGTCTTGCCTATTCCCCTCCTCAATGATCCCAGTCCGGACCTGAACAAACAACAATAAAAAATTTTAGGTCTCTTTTTCATTTTCCCCCAGTTATTTTTAGATTTATGTTTTAGAATCATTTAAAAGTAAAATTGTGGACAAAAAATTCGTGGAGCCTTCTGTTGTTTATATTTTATATTTTGACGGTGACAATATCTTTGTATACACTTTTTTAGTTTTGATTTAGCAATACTAAAGAGAGGAAATTCCATGGTCAATGTATGTTTTAACTGAGAAACAAAGTATGCATGTATTTAAAAGAGAAGGATCAATTCAAAAACGGATAGTACAGATAAATGATAAATCATTGTAATCTCTAACAATACAAAATCGTTAATCAATGATCAACGATGGTAATCAATTGTAATTTCTTAACAACACAATAACCATGACAATTAGTTATGGCAAAGCTATAAAATTACTTTAAGAACTGTCTTTAAAGTTATCTGAAATTCTAAAAAGGAAGAAAAAAAAGAAAGATCATAAAGAATAAATTGATAAACAGAGCAATAAAAACTAAAATAAATGATGAAGAATTTATACACTCCACAAGAATTTTCTACCCACACCAAGTACGAACACGTTACAATGTGTCTCTATTAACCATAACAATTAGTTATGGCAAAGCTATAAAATTACTTTAAGAACTGTCTTTAAAGTTATCTGAAATTCTAAAAAGGAAGAAAAAAAAGAAAGATCATAAAGAATAAATTGATAAACAGAGCAATAAAAACTAAAATAAATGATGAAGAATTTATACACTCCACAAGAATTTTCTACCCACACCAAGTACGAACACGTTACAATGTGTCTCTATCAACCTGTAACTTGCACTGGAGCTTCCACTGAAGCCGCTGTCCATGTCACAGCCAACAGGCGAAAGGAGGTCGTCGGTGGGACTGACCGAGGATAACAATTCCTCCGTGGACGCCCCTCTTTGATCCTGTGGCTCGTCCTCGTCGTTGTTATCGACCACGGTAGGCATCAGCATTGCCTCCACGCTGAGGTTCAATTCCCCGAGTACTCGACGATGCCGTGACTGAACCCGTCGCACCTCCTCCGCCACTAGAGATCTCCTCGAACCGTGCAACGCTCGGTGACATTGTCTGCTAATGAATTCGAGTTCTCCATTAGTATTTACATACGCTTCTCTCTTGCATATACAATGTGAAATCATATAAAGCGGTTGTTTCGATAAACGATAATCGTTCGCTAATGATTCACAGTCATTAAACCGGTTGGCGTTGACATTAAGAGGAACATTCACAGAGATGTTCCAGTCCTTGCATGATCATATGTGATTGTACGTACAAATTGAAATTATACAAGCAAAAATTTAAAAAATAGAATAAAATGACATTTAATCTGGCGAAAATAAGTGAGAATGTAGATGATATTTTTCACCACATTCATGATACATTACCTCTGTCTTTATTTATTAAATCATGTTGAGCTTACGAGAATTATATTGGAATTTAATCGAGC